GAAGCGAGGGGCCATGTTAATTTGGGAAAAATGTAAACAGCATGTGTAACTGTTCAAAGCGTGACGGACTCATTTTATATCAGTCTCCCCCGTCTCTCCCTCTCCTCCCCTCTGGGTGCTGCGAACTTCTGTCAATCTGTGATGCATTAACCCCTCGGCTGCCAGCCCTCCTCCTCCTCGCCTGACTTATAGGCACCGTGAAGAATCGAGGATGGCTTGAACGAATCAAAAGATGTGAAGGGTTCACTTTATCCTGCCGTTTCCGCCTCCCCTCCTCTTTTTGTTTCCTCCGACCGGCCTTTGAGTCGAGGCTCGCCGATCCAACACGCCAAAAGTTTTATCCGAAACGCACCGACACTAATTCGACTCCCGCCGCAGACTTTCTCTGCATGTGAATGTTGCAAAGAGTTATTGGAGTAGAAAAAAACAAAACAAAAGCACAAATTTGTGCTTCCAGACGGATCTGAAAAGAGAAATACGTTTGTCGTGTGTATGCTTGTTAGCAACATATCTCATGAACCACTGGGAGAATTTTGATGAAACTTTCAGGAAATAATCATTGGATTAACAAGTGGAATTCACCTGATTCAAGATGGCCGCCCGCAACAGCCAACTCACGTTAATACAAAATGGCTTTAATTCAGTCAGTTTTGCACACATTGAGCTAACATTCGGTGTGGTAGTAGCTGAAACTGACCCCAAACGTATTATGAAGGTTGATATGATTTTGCAGGATTGTTGTTTAAAATTTGCCACTTACTATGTGGAATAAACTCATTTCGCCTGTTAGCAAAATATCTCATGAATCACTGGTTGGATTTTATTGAAACGTTCAGGAAATAATTATAGGATGCACCTCTACAACTGAACCTGACCTCATTCAAGATGGCTGTCGGAACAAAACAAACAACTGGCTCCATTTTAGCAAGTTTTATGGGTGTCATGGTAAAGTTTGGGCTGGTAGTAGCTGAGAGTCATTCACAACACGTACTCGGAGCGTGAAATGTCATTATTTTCAAGGTTTGACCAAAAGCAGCTTCCATGCCATCATGTTTCTTACTTCAGTCTAAGACACTGCCGTGAGTGGTGGCGGGCGATATGCATTCCTTCAAACAACGCTGGGTCTTTGGTCTGCTCAGCCATGTGTTTCTTGTCCCTCTGGAGCTACACTAAACGGTTTCACAGAACCTGGTTTGAGGGTTTGCTCCAATAGAAAGGAGCAGAAACAATAAAAGAGGTGATCTTTTGTGCAGAACTTCACCTCCTTCACACAGACAAAAAGCAGCAGCTGCCCCGGCGCTCCCAGAGGGGGAGAACGTGTGTGTCCTCTCACACCCTGACTAAAGTGGATCATGTACTTTCTCATATCGGTGACGGATAACAAGACAGGGGGGTTCTGACCCCTTCAGAACCTCGTCACACACACTTTATTAGTCCCAACCTTTCGGTTCCATCCTACTCTAAAAGTAGATTTAGATAATTATCTGCTTTTTTATTTAAAAGTGCCTTTTTTCCTCAAACTAAAATATTTTAAAAGCCACTTTGTCAATCAGGAGTTCCCATCCAACATTGTGGGCATGAACGTTCTTAATTTAGTGGCTTTTAATGTTTTATTCAAACTGTTATTTTTCAAGGGTACTGTAATCTAACTTAAGTTTGACTTTTTCCCACCAGATCATGATGGTACCACCACCATGCTTGCCAGCTTGTGCAGTGTTGATAGGTTTGAGAGCCTAAGTTTACCGATGTGGATGGTAACGCCGGCGTTCCTACAGTTTCTGGTTCATTGGGGTTCCTCAACATCTTGACAGGTTTCTTTTTATCTGAGGGGGGGGCAGCTTTGGGCCTTTTTCTATCCAGTTGTGTCTTCAGAGAAGATCCACTAACGTTCCTGTTCTGATAATCAGTTAAACTTCAGAAGGTCCTTTATGACATGAAGTGCTCCTAGGTGGGGGAAATCAACCACATTATTTATTAACTCATTAAAAATACTTAAAAAAAAAAAAACTTCCACAATGGACTAGTCGCTCTTCAGAAGCCATTTCTGCCGGAAATAGAAATATGAAATTTAAATGATTTTTTTTTTTTTTT